CAGAGAACAGCACATCTAGCAGGCAATAACATAAAATTTAAAGCTTTAGTTTTTAGAACAATACACAAGGGCTGGACAATTGTAAAAAATACTGCATAAGCAATCCAACAGTATCCTGTTACATTTCTTCACATCCTCACCACATCATTCTAAGGTTAAATCGAAGAAGTCATGTTTTAGCATTCAAAGTGCTAAATTCTAGCTTTCCATTACTCCACTATCATGGTCTTAAAATTATTATAGATTCTTTGATGTAGTTTTACTTTTAAGTGGAGCTTTAAAGACATTTTTTGTAATGTATCTGCATCTAAAAAGTCAATGCATGAATCTGATTATTTTGATGTCTTTTAAAACCTATTTCAATAGGTTTATTTTGTAAAAAATAAGCTTTGACTTTGACCTTTTCTGCATCCGTGTATTCATAGGATTCTGTGACAATATATTTTGCAATAAAAATTTATATTAATAAATATGAATACAACTCTATAGGTAGTAGTTGAAATATAAGACATTAGGAAAAATAATATTCCTCTTTACAATGAGTCCAATCAGATGGTTCTTTCTGCAGCTTGGAATTATGTCCCATTTTAAACCAAATGATCTATAGTCCTTGAATCATAGCCCCTCTGTTTTCCATGCTTTAAAAATAGGATATCAAACAGTGGTTTTTTGCAGGTGACGTGGGTATCTGTTTATATATTTCTTTGGTCAAATTGAAGAATAGGAGCAAAAAATATTTCACCAAATATAAATTATGTTGAAATTTTCCTTTTAACATTGATCTATGGGAGGAGATAACCACTTTTCAAACTTTTCTAGCAAGTTTTTCTGTCTGCAAAAGGACAATATTGACTAATTTCCATTCAGGATAAATATTAAAGATAATCAGCCATAATATAAAGGGAGTCTAAAGTATGTGAAAAATACTTAGGGAAGATGAGAAACAATCAATATTAAAATGTTTATATGACCCCTTCATTTCAGTGATATCTAATATAGACATTGTTTACAAGATAAAATTTGTAAGCAGTGAACTCAGTAGTATGTGTGTGAGTGTGTGTGTGTGTGTGTGTGTGTGTGTGTGTTGGAGTTGAGACAATCGCTCAAACTAGGTTTTTGATATTTAATACATAATGCAAGAGTTAGAATTTTATTGTCATTTCAACTGGATATACTGGAATAATATAGATACAACTTGAGAAGCTGTTGGGAAGCTAGAGAGATAAAAGACATACTTAAAGTATTTGTAAATGGGATGAACTTTTTTTTTCCTGCTTTGAGAGCAATCTGTTTCAGTGCTGCATGTGTGTGTGTATGGAGGGGATGAAGAAGAAAAAGAGAGGGAGCATGCTTATTATTTGGGATATTTTTTACACATAATGCTGCTGAGTTTCACCCCAAAGAAATGTGACCTATATCTCCTCACTTAGGGGGTAAGACCATCTCCTAATAAGGGCCTTTTAGTAGTTGAATAAGCCAATTCCCTTGGTAACAAAGTGTTATAAAGAGAACTCAATGTTCAAGTTACTATGTTAGATAATGTGTAAGTAGGTATCAATTTCTATACTTACATTTATGAAAGAAAGCATAGTGACCTAACATTTTTGTACTGGAATGGAGAAAGATTTAATTTTGTGGATTCAGTTTACAGGAGTAGTATTCTGGATACTTGTATCTGATTTCCCTCTCTTTCTTAGAGGTCATAGAAGTTAATTTGGTTTTTGAGACTGTAGTTTTTATATAATCCTCTAATATTGGAAATGTTGCACTAATAGTGCTCTTAAGAGCAGGTATTTTCATTTCATCTTATTTTTTTTAAATCTCAATTGATTTCAAATATATTTTATATTTGTTTTTCTTATTATTTTATAAATTAACATTTGCAAATGAGTAAATAGGAAGATTGTTATTTTTAAAATCACTATCTGAAGCATATATAAAAATATTCTACTCTTAATTTACAGAATGTTTGAGTGTGAGTGATATTAATTCAAATGATTTTGTTTTGCACTTATTTTTCTCTTTCAATGATTGTTTTTGAAAGCCTTACATGTTTGGATTTTTAAGTCAAAAATAATTTTCACAATTCTGAGATTCCAGTGTCTTTTTAAAAGCTCTGACAGGTGGGAAAATACATTTTTTTCTCTCTGGAAAAATACTTTTCAACCTCTAACCAATTTCTCTTTTTCTATCCTCCTTCCGCTCCCTTCTTTCCTGAAAAAAAGTATTTTAAATAAAAATCATAGTGTATGTTTTACTTATAACTTATAGGCATTACAGCATCAATAACAGCCTGACTGTGAATCAAGGGAAATATCTGAATTGTAAATATTTTCGTAGGAGCAGTGTTTTATTTTGTTAAAGACAAATGTAAATCCTATGCTAATTTAGGCACTAGGTCCCACACTCTTTTCTTTCTAAAGATAGGAAATTGATGTCCAGGGATATTGTTTTTCTTCTTTCATAGTGGAAAAATAAAAGGTGCAATTTAGTGACTTATTTCACTTTTATTAGGCCTGAAGAGAGCCACAAGTATAAAGACAACTCTGTATACATACACATGTATCTGATTTACATATTTTACTTTGTTTATTTATGAGTAGCATCTGTGTACTCACTCATTTTTTTTTTTTTTTTTGGTACCGGGGATCGAACTCTGGTCCCTGCTTTTGCCCAGCAGGCAGCAAAGCCACTGAGCTAAATCCCCAGCCAAATAAACTAATAGCCAACTTGGAAAGGATGAATATTCTTTTTTCTTTTTTTCTTTTTTTTTTGGCACTGGGGATTGAACTCGGGACCTTGTGCTTGCAAGGCAGGCGCCAGAACCACTGAGCTAAATCCCCGGCCCTCACTCATTTTTATACCCTAAACCCCTCTACAACTTCTCAATTTTTTATTGCTTTGATTTGGTGATGTGGATGAAATGTTTTTGCCTTCATCCTATTAGATATGATTATTATTGGGTTTTTTTAGTACTGTTTACAGTACATATGATTACATTAATTGTGGAGAGTTAGTATATGTATTAAACATATTATAATTCTTTTTACTTCCCCTTCCCCTCCACTCCCTCCCCCCATCTCTATCTTTGGATCCCCCTCCCATTTGTAAAGATCTCCCTGTTTCTAGAAGCCATCAATTATTATTTTATGAGAGAAAACTACGTTGTGATATGCTGAGAGAAGCCAAGGACAAAGCTGCCTACCCTACAAAGGCCTTAGTTGGGAACAAGAATAGCAGCAACCTCAAACAAGCAAAGCCCCAGGCAGAAGCATCAGCAATATCTGATATTTAATGAGAATATTATATTCATGATACAAAATGATTGATAAGAATTTTACCATAAAAGCCAACTAGACTTTAGATCTATTTTAGGAAAAAAGAAAAGAGGCAATAAAAGAATCAAACTTGGTAAACATATATAAAACATAAAACAGGTATATGTATGTGTATATATATATATATGTAAAACATTGCCAAATAATGATATGTCTATCTATCTGTATAAATATATACTAAAATATTTGCATATGTATCCATTAAAAAGTTCAACATTCACTGTAAGTTGTTTTCTGTGCACAGTAGTAAGAAAAACTGCAATCTTAATTCAAATGTCTAAGGATATTGTATGGGTAGAAGGTTAGTTGGTATGGAACAAAAGAGAAGCAGCAGACTTACTACTACAGGTTTTGTGGTTGTAGATACATCTCTATAAAATCAATAATCCCAGCATTTTAGAAAATTAAGGTAGGAAAACCACAAGGAGGATCTCAGCTTTGGCAACTTAGGGACTTTGCAACACTCTGTCTTCAAATAAAAAATTAAAAAAGGGTTCAGGATGTAGCTTTGTGTAAAGGCCCTGGGTTAAACCAGTAGTACAAAAAATCAGCATTACTTATGAAAGGACGTAAATCTACAAATATTCACAGAACTTGTTTCTATTTCATACACAATATGCATATGTGTAAAAATCCACCATGCAGTTATATATGATTAGGCAAACTGAAAATGCAAAAAATTACATGTGATAATTATTACCTATTAAATTGGTTAAGTAAGTTTACTTTGCCTAACCAAAAAACACCTATTTTACAGTATGAGTTGAGGAGGTATTTATAGCTGGAAAATTATAGTTAAATGCTGTTTGTTGCTTCATGTATCTACTAAAAAGGATAGATAAGGCATGTTTATACATACAAAAGCTTAAAACTAACTGCTTAACATCTGGGAAATCATTCTTCAGGTCCCAACTCAAGGAACAGTCTCTTGTTTTTTGGAGAGTCTTGTGAAATCAAATAATGCAATTGAAATTATTTGTAGGAGTAAGAAGTAGAGTGTAAGTAATCAAAATTTCCCACAAATGATTCCATGTAATCTTTTTCTTTTGACCCAGACTCAGAAAGAGAGTGATAGAATTCAGCATCCTTGGGCAAAACAAAGTTTATTCAGATATCTGGGCCCAAGTAAAGACTTAAGAAGGAAAACATGCTTACATAAAATAATCTTCCAATTCCTCTGCAAGAGAATAGGGGTTCACCAGAAGGGCAAGTAGAGTATATAGGAAGAAGGATGGGTGCACCAAGGGAAAATGGAAACCTCAGAAAGGCCTGAGTCCACTTTCAGGAGTGGCAGGTGAGAAGAATACTAGCTGAGAGAGGCACTCTCTTTTCAGAGATCTTTAATGAAATTTCATCTCTTGAAATAAAACTGGATCCTAATGTTTCCCACACAGTTTCTAGCCATTCAGTATGTATGTGTGGTTTAATCATGGGTATTGGCACAAGAATAGCTCTCCTAGTGTGTGCTGAGCTGAGCTGAAAGACCAAAAGTCACAGGATGAAAAGCAAGAATCAAAACAAAACTAAGGATTTCTAACCTGAAGCAAATCAGAGCGCTGCTCAACCAGAACATGCTTCTGCTTAAATGCTCCACTTCACACAGCACACAATAAGGCCAGAAGAATAAAATAGATGCAATTTTTTGGAAAAATGTTTTATTTAAACCTTTTAAATCTTTACAACAATAAAATATTGTGTAAATATAAACCCCTTGACTAAAACTGTTCACATCAAACATTACTGCAAATTGTTTTCTTTTTGACACCCAACTCATCTTTGAAAGAATTTCCTCTGAAACACAATGCAGAATTTATTGAAAATAAATAATCGTTGGCAACAGCAATAGGCAATTTGAATAAAATAGTTGAAAAAGCAACTCTTAATGAAAATAGCGTTTACTATACATCAGTTGCTAAATGAATAAACTAAATGATCTCTTTAAATTAATAACTTCAAAAACGTTTAATATACAAAACTGTACAATTATAAAGTCGGTTGAAATATTTGGGTTAACTTAGGTTTGACCGTAGCATTTAACTGCAAAGAAAAAACTAGATAGAAACAAAACAAAAAACCCAAAGAGTTTCTGAAAAATGAATTCAATATGGAAAATTCAATCCCAGAATTAAAATCTAATTACCTACAGAACGAAGAAGCTTGACAAGTGTAAAAGGGTCGGGGATTTGAATTAATAAATGCTTTTGACCTGCAGCTAGGGAAGCAGTGTGGTGAACCAGAGGCCTGGCAGCCCGTAGTACTGTCGTGCCTTCAGACAAGGGCCCAAGGCTTTCTGGTCCTTAGGTAGTTTGAAGCTTTGTCTACTGCTGCTACTCCCAGAGGCCAATTCGGCGGCGACGGCGACAAGCCTGGCGTGAGGAGACCGCAGCCAAGTACAGCGGGCGGCAACTGGCTGTGGCATTCTCGGCCGCCCCCAGCACACGTGTGCTCCTTGGGAATGAGGTGCACCTGTGAAGCTGACGTGTAGAGAGCTAACAATAAAGCCACGGCAACTGTAAATTTTTGGGATCTCTACATAACCTAGCGAATGTTTTGTAGTTTTTTTTTATACAGTAATACGATACACATAACTATCTACACACACATTTGCACGCGCACGTAAGCACACACTCACAGACACTTACGCACCGAGAGATAAAAAAGCTGGAACCCAGTGCCCCGGGCGCTGGCTAGCTTGATCGATGTTCTCTTGGGCTTCCATCAGTTGTACTTGTCAGAATCAAAAAGAGGAGCGCACTCACAGACAGCGGTATATACACTAGAGACAAGGGGTACTGGCTGGACTAAAATCCCTGCGAACTTTGCCAATCATTTCATTGTCCTTTTGCACAGAACGGAGTGCCTGTCCGCCCACTTCCAGACCACCCTTCCCTGAGGGTTCTTCACACAGAGAGCGGGTTGTAAACTGGAGGTGAATTGAATTGGGAGGCGCTGGCGCGGTCAGGCGTTAGCTTCTCCCGGTCGTGGTCTCAAGCAAAAGCAATCCCTTGTGAAGACAAAGTCTTTCGCCGGGGGAGCCGAGATGGGGTCCTGCAGGCGGTAGATCTAGCTAGACCGGAGGCCGGTGTAGAGATCCCCAAGCAGGTATCCAGGCCCCCGGTGTAGAACCTTTCTGGTCGCTCAGACCATCTCTCTTTGCTTGGCGCCACGGCGAAATCCTCCGACACCGACACCGGGATCTAAGCTGTGGTAGCCTTAGGAGCTCTACAGTTTGAAAACATGGGGCAGAAAGCTCCAAGATGCCTCTCCTACTTCATGCTAGTTTGCAGACCTAATCAGGTTGCCTATTCTGCCCATCCTAGGCACTCCACTCCAGGGGTGGGGGTGGGGGAATAACCAATATTCTCATCAACAACTCTCTCCACTATATCCTCTCCTCTCCATACAGATTTGGAGGTGGGTGGGTAGGCATTTCTCTCCTTCTTCCCAGCCCCCTCCTATTCTAAGCAATTAAAAAACCATCAGCTCAATGACGGAATAATAATAGCAATAATAATGTGGAGCGGTCGATTAGATACAAATTAGCTCACAAATATTGTGTACACCTTGTAGTAAAACACCGTAGACATTTAGAAACGCTATAGAAGTTCTCAAAAATGCAAAACTACTCTATTGTAAAACAGATTTCACCTGAAATACAGCTGCTATAACCAAGGCGCTGAAAGGTTAATCAGAGGCACACATCTGTCTTCCCACCCCACCCCATGTTACCCCACTCTTGCTCTTCCTAGAGGGGAGCGACAAACAAACCTTACTCAGTAAACAATATGTAATGACCAGAAGAAATGATTGGAAGAAATTGCCCAGGGGGCACGGAATATGAGGTCCCCACCTGGACTGTTTAATATAGTGTGTAACAGAGTTCAAAAGCCTGAATAAGAGTATGTGCGTTTCCTTTTTCAACATTACTTAGAACCCTCAGAGAGAGAGAGAGAGAGAGAGAGAGAGAGAGAGAGAGAGAGAGGGAGAGAGAGGAATAATAATGAAGAACGTTATAATGAGAGGAAGAGAGTGAGGAGAGAAATCTGCGGTGCTCCGAGTGCTGCCGGCAATCTTCTGGTTTCCTCCAGTCAGAGATCATGACACGACGTGTCTGTTTTCACTGTTTGCGAATAAATCTCATGCGGCTGTTGATCTCCTGGTGGAGTCATTCTTTTCTCTTTTTGTCTTCTATTACAGAACCAGACACGCACCACTTCTTTCTCCAACTGGAGGCTGTCTGCCAGCGAGGAAATCTCCTGTGCTGCAGGTTTGGGACACTTGAGGAAATGCGTCTCCAGAACGCCCTTGACACTCACCTCAATGGAGGTTCGCTTCTTGCGCTTTCGGCCCTGTGCTGCGATCTTGTCAATACTTGTTGGGCTCCCTGTGGACGAATCTGCCTCCTCCAGCCACTTGTTCAGCAGGGGCTTCAGCTTGCACATGTTCTTGAAGCTCAATTGTAAGGCCTCGAACCTGCAGATGGTAGTCTGTGAGAACACGTTGCCATACAGTGTGCCCAGCGCCAGCCCCACGTCAGCCTGCGTAAAACCCAATTTGATTCTTCTTTGTTTGAATTGTTTGGCGAACTGTTCCAATTCGTCAGAGGTTGGCGTCTCCTCGTCGGAGTGGTCCTGGCAGTGGTGAGAACCCAGTTCGTTGTGGTCCTGGGGCTCCCGGAGGACCGGGTGCAGGCTTTGTGTGGAGGCAGCGGCTGGCGGTGGGGTGAGTCCACCGTGCTCTAGCATACCGCTCACCGTGAAGCCTGGCTGCGAGTACACGTTGAGGGGTTGGCCGCTTGAGGTGATGGACGGGTTTGGAGCAGGGTTTGCCCCCCAGGCGTTCGGGTGGTTAGTGTGCGGTGAGTGGTGTGCTACATGTGGTGATCGGTGATGAATGATCGCACCAAGTTGCAGGTCTTCGCGCACGGGCTTCACGTCTTGCTGGTCCAGAGGGCTGGTGGCAAGTGTGGAAGACCAGGGGCCCCCGTCGCTCAGACTGGTCACCCAGTGATGCCCCAGGGGATGCCCATTGCCTGGAACTCCTTGCAAGTAATCACTTTGCAGAAGTTTCTGAGGATTGCGGAAAGGACTCCCCTGCTGCATGCCCGCGGAGTCTGCATGGACCAGGGAACTGGAGCTGAGAATGCTGTAGGGATTCGAGGCAGCTGTGGCCATGGTCTATGAGGATCCCCTACAAGTATAATGTGGCAAAGGGAGCCGCTTCAGCCTTTGACATCTACGGTGCGGGGGAGCCAAAGCCGCTAGCACGGGTTACTGGCACCCACCTTGACCAATTGCAGGGCTTCTCGGCCTGGCCAGGAGTGAGCACAACCAATGGTGTCACGGTAGGCCGAGCTTGCTTTCCAAATTAGGCTGGCGAAGCTCACGAGTTTCTGTGAGACCCAAGCAGGAAGTGAATCACTCTTTAGGCTCTATTGGCTGCCTAGCACAGAGTGGTGGCGGCTCTTTTGGTTAACCCTTTCTCCGATCCCCCTCCCAAGCGGGCGTTTGTGGTGGAAGGGGAAGGATGAGAGGGATATATTTGAAGAAAGCAGGGAGTAAAGTGGCAAATTGGCATTAAAAAATACTCCTGGTTTATTTAGATTAACATAAAAAGAAAAAGTAAAACAAGTTTACATGTCCTTTTGATCTTGGTATATAAAGATTTTTCCGACTCAGTGTTCTGGGTTAGTGTGTGTCAGGAAATGCAAAACAAACAGCCATTACAAACTTTGAGCAAAGGATCCTATTTTGTAAGATCCTAAATTAATGAATTAATTATTCCAATATGAACTATTTCAGTTTATTTTATTTCATTTTATCATTGATAATAAACTAGACCTTAAAACCTGAAAGAATCTAAGGAAGAAATGCCCTGTGTCTTCTGAAAAAGAAAAAGAAAAACAAAAAAGAGAGATTTAGGTGTGAAGAATTGAAAGATTCTCAGCAATTAAAATTTAATATAATAGTGTCAAAAATTCAGTTATTTTGAAGTTTGCTTCTCAGTTGAGTTTGTCACCTGAAAGCTTTGCTTTATTATTGATACATATCATCTCCCATGAGAGGTTCCACAACTTCTGTGAAAGGCACTGCTTGCTGAAGAGAGGCATCCCTCACCAAGCTTACCCCACTCCCAAAAGCTATGCAGGAAAACATTTGGGACTTTTTGGCTGATGCAGTCCTTTTAGAAAATTGTTTAAAATATTCACTCACCTCACACCTGCCAAAAAGAAGAAAATGTGAATCATTTACTGTACCCAAGAAATTCAGAAAGAAAGAGACCCCAGGCTATTTTGCATCAAGTAGCTTACCCCATCCTCCTTTGGAAGCTTTAAAAACAGGACTACATTTACACTTTAGTTAGAAGAAAAGAAAGGGAAGACTTGTTAGAGTAAGACAAGTCCCTGTACTCCAAAGCCCCATACAAAGACTTCCCCCAGAAGCAGAGTTTGGAGAAATGCAAAGATTTTAATTTTTTCTAGTGACAGAAATGCAGCACCCTGATACCAAACACAAATTTTGAATTTTAGAACAAATGACTTTTCATTATATAATTTTGGAGGTAACCTTGCTGCATAATTATTTCTGCTCTTACAGAAGACGGCATCAGAGATCCCTTATGTTCCCTTATTGGTTTGAAATTCCATTAAATATATTGCAAGAGCTCCTAGGTTAAGCTTGATTTAAATTTGCATACATTTTCATATATTTAGCAGAAATAAAAGAAGGCTTGCAGCCACCAGAAAGTCATTAAGGCATTAGTTTCTCTAAGAAGACTGATCTGAAGAAAATGCAAGAAAATGAAAAAAAAATCCAAGGTGAGCTTATTCTGTCATTCCTTTATATAACTAAAGAACATCTATTTCCTGTGGAATTACTGATTTCTTCTGAGAGCACAGGAACTGATGTTGGTAAACAAAAATGTATTTATTAGGCAGGAAAACCTGGCATGTTGTTGAGATCTATTTCTTTCATTTGCTTTTTAAAAAAAGAATAAACACTTAGTAATTATTGGTAGACAGGATCATTTGCCATCTTCTAGCTAGCCTCTCCCTGCTCCCTCATTAAAACTGTACCTTCATTTTTGGATGTCTTATTCTAAGGGTTTATATACTTTTAAGCTAGAAATATATATATTCTCTCTCTCTCTCTCTCTCTCTTTCTCTCTCTTTCTCTCTCTCTCCTTTCTCTTCCTCCTTTCCTCCTCTCTTATGCACCTGCACTCTTTTTCTGTGTTCCCTCATCTCTGTTCCTCCATCTCTTTTCTTTTTTGCAGTGGAACTTCATTTCTTACTGCCAAATGTGTGCATCTTCCTTTGCAACAATGAAGTCTCATTTATGCCTGAACTTCTGTTTCCCAAAGAAATAACAATTTGTTAAAATCAAACAAAAGTAAAAGTAAAACTTTTAGGTGCTGTGTGAGGCTGCCTGTTTTAGGATCCATTTGTCAGTCTGTGTAGAGTCAGTTTAGAGGTCAGAAGAAAATGCATTAAAGAAAATTTTTCTGCAAAGAAATGATTATGATCACATTTTGCAGCTGTGTTTGGGTGAAAGAGTTGCTAAACTTAGTGTGGCTATTCGGAGGTAAAAATAATTATCAAATGATAAAGCTTTTGCTTGAAAAAAGGGCATCCTTTACCAATTCAATCTTGTGTTTTTACTAGCAACCATTCTTTTATCCACGGACTCTGCTTTGGGTACCGGGGTTTTGCCAGCCAAATAAAAGTGTTTCAAACCATTTGCCAGGAGGTTGGGGGAGGGGAATAGTAAGGAGGGGCATTTAACCCCAGAAACATGTTTTTCACAACCTTTTTTTTCAGGCTTTAAGAATAGCTTCTGTCAGGAGCAGAAACCCTTGTCATCCTCTTTATTTTTCCTCCCCTCCCTTCCCCTCTCCACTCCTCTTCTCTTCCTCTTTCCCTATTTCTTCTCTCCTTTCTTTGTTCCTTTCCCCCCTTTCCTCCTGTTCTTCATCCTCCTCTTTTGCCTCCTCTGCCTCTTCCTTTTTTCTCTTATTTAAAAAGTTGTTTCCCATGAATATAGATGTTGTTTATTGAATTTACATGCAGTTACATCTTATAGTAGCTGTGATAGAATCCTCTCTTCATGTAAGGTGCTTTTTAAAAGAAAATATCTGCATGTAGTCAAATCTTTCTGTTCTAACTAATCTACTGGAGAGGTTTCCTTCACCCTGTCCTGTCAGTCTAACTTCCCAAGTGTAACAGATGCCGCTCAAGCGTTCCTTTCTGCAGCTTCTCTTTATTCAGCTTTGCATATTTCTCCCCATGATCTGTGTTTCCATAGAGAGAGGAATAAAAGGGGGGACCATGGTCACAAATCCCTTGCCCCATGCAAAATAAAAGAGCCTCATTCAATAGACGACCCTGTCTGGACATGGGAGAAAAATAAGTCTGTGAGAAGCTACTGTTGCAAAGAGCTGTAACTTACTTATCATACACTGCATTTTGCCTTAAACTCTAAGTAGTCACTGGTAAACGCGCTCTCTAGGGCAACTGTGCTAAATCCATACCTTGGTTTGCTCTTCATTCAGATCTTGAAGTCCATTTTGGGTCCTCAGATTCCCCATACCTCTTATTGGACTATATTTTGAAAAATATCACAGTAGCTATAGAACCTATCCAGCCTTGGCAGCTGAAAGTCTCCATAAAGAAGAGCTTGGCTTTGAAGTAGGTGAACTTTAATTGTAGCAAATTTACCACCTGTCTCCATAAGGCAGCTCAAGTTTAAATTCTGGGGCCAGGCAAGCACTTGGCATCATCTTCATTCCTTGTTGAGTTACTTTCAAACTCCAGTTTGCTATCCCACTGTTTCTAAGAAAACAATGCATTTTTTCCTAAAAGTCTAGCTGTATAACTTTATTTATAGTGTCATTTATTTATAAATTCAAGGTTCCTAGTGGCTATCTTTTCCATAAAATTTAAGATAAGATCTTTGCAGAGAACTCTGTCCCTCCCTCTCTTAACAAGCAAGGAAGGACTCACAAAAGAAATTAAGCAGATTAATGTGGCTGAGGTCTTGCTCTTGTGGAAGCATGCTAACATGGCCTCAGCTGTAGACTGCACCCAGTTTCATTGGAAAAGAGCCCTATTCTTGTGGATTATGAATCTTGAAGAGTTCATATTTGAGTGTAGTTTAGGAAACATTCTCATTATGTGTACAAATTGGGGAGCTGGTGAGCAGATGGATTGGGGGTTGGGGAAGAAATCATCCAAAGGGCTAGATTTGATGTGGTACATAGGCATGACTTGGAGACTAAAAACTTCACCTTCTCTTTAGAAAAAGGACAAGATAGATTGGATTAGGGAGAGAGAAATGCATATTTCCGTTTTAAAAACCTGGAGCTCACAATGAAAGGAAAACAAATGAACAGTTTATCAAATCAACACAGAAAAAACCAGTTTTACTTGTATTTTTATGTTGAGCTCATGAGACATTTTTAGTGTGAGATACAGCTGCCCTTCAGAACACCAGGCCACTGTCACTACTCTTATAGTTCTCTCCTTTTTTTTCTTTTTCTTCCTTCTCTTTTTTTCTTTCTTTCTTGTCTTTTTTTTTTTTTTTTGCAAACTGTATGGAGGGGAAGGAAAGGGCCTCCAAATAGTCTAGGGTAGAGATGTAAAAGTTGAATTTAGATGGCATTAGTAAGTGTTTGGAGTGCAGACTCAACTTCAATTAGCTCATTTTTTTAGGATCTCTGTTGTCTTATTTTCTTTTTTCTTTTTGGTACCGGGAATTGAACTCAGGACCTTGAGCTTGCACTGCAGGTGCCAGAACCACTGAGCTAAATCCCCAGCCCTTCATTGTCTTTTTTTCAATGTGAGTAAAAGGATCCTTAGAAGAAAGGGAAGGTGGAGAGGGAAGGGTTGATAATATACAGCAAGTAATGAAGCATAAAGAGGACAATTTAAAAAATAAAATATAAGTAAAATTTATACAAATAGTTCAATGTGGGAGAACATTAGTCATATGATGACAAAATGGAATCTTGGGGGAATCAAAATGGAATCGTGGGGAAGTGCTGAGGCATTGTGTGGCTAGGTCCCTAGACAGAATAGTTGCAGGACAGGCAGAAATAATAGAGACCCTGAGGATGGAGGTAAAGTATGTTCATGCCACAGAGGCATTGCCTGGCTCTTATTGATTTAGACTCGGTTTCTCTTCTGAGGTCATCTCTTCCATTGCTGTTACCATTTTCATTGGTTAACCTGATGTTATAGG